AGTGCTGTCTGTGTGCTCCAGTAACAAACCTGCCATCGTTGAGGCCGGTGAGACCATTTGTCTTCAGTTTAGTCCAGTATGTTATAGCGGAAAATTTGAATGTGGTTTTTGTTTGAATAAGCTTTGTGTCTGTTTTCAGGTGGCATGCAAGCACTCGGCCTCCATCTCACAGACCCCAGTCAGCGACTGGTGCAGAACTGCTTGTGGACTTTGAGGAATCTTTCAGATGCCGCCACCAAACAGGTACCGATCCGTCTCTGTCTCTTTCCCTCAGCTCTTTTACGCTGTCTTCTGTTCTTCCTACATGAGCCCTCTCTTTCTGTCTCCCCATTGTTTCCATGGAGAAGACGTCTTTAGCAGAAGTAGATGTGCAGGTAACAGTCATTCCTGCCTTTGTCTGTGATGGGGGTTGGGGGCTGTAGCCAGCTCTGACCCCACACAGTTAGGACATCAGATTGTAAAAGAACAGTGTCGATGGAGCATGAACTGATGCTACATTTGGTTGTAATGCCTGTGCTGTGTGTACATTTCACCCAGCTGTTGTTGTGACGTCAGAATTCTTGAATTATCAAAACATTTCTGGAATGATTTTGTGTATTTAACCGTTTACTCACTCATGGTAGGCTTACAACCTCATGTAACGTGTCGTAAAATGTTACGAATGGCTGTGGCTGGTCGTGTGCGGGACTAAAAAAATCGTGGACTGAGTTTGTCATGGATGCAAATTCTGGGTTAAAGAAAGATATGCATCTCAACTCTGGATCCTTCTGATCTACAGGAGGGTATGGAGGGGCTCTTGGGCACCCTGGTCCAGTTGCTCGGTTCAGATGACATCAATGTGGTGACGTGTGCTGCTGGAATCCTGTCCAACCTCACCTGCAACAACTACAAGAACAAGATGATGGTGTGCCAAGTGGGTGGCATCGAGGCCCTCGTGCGCACTGTCCTTCGAGCCGGGGACAGAGAGGACATCACGGAGCCGGCTATCTGTGCTCTCCGTCACCTTACATCCAGACACCAGGATGCAGAGATGGCCCAGAATGCAGTGCGGCTGCACTATGGGCTGCCTGTGGTGGTCAAATTACTCCACCCTCCCTCACATTGGCCTCTCATTAAGGTATGGAAGTGATTTGAGGTCATCGCTCCTGTCTTTTAGTGGCTTTCATTGTGCCTGAACTGGAGTGAAGAGAATTTGTTTATAAAAATAGGTTTATTTTAACACTTTGAACACTCCTTGTATTCTCTCCCAGGCCACCGTCGGGCTGATCCGTAACCTGGCGCTGTGCCCTGCCAACCACTCCCCGCTCAGAGAGCAGGGTGCCATTCCCCGCCTGGTGCAGCTTCTGGTCAGGGCCCATCAGGACACTCAGAGACGCACCTCCATGGGTGGAACACAGCAGCAGTTTGTGGTGAGTCACGGTCACATGATCAGCAGTTTAAGGCTGCTGAATTGTGTAATTTCATTGTTCTGAAATTAAAATTGTGATCCATTTATACATAAGCGTAGAAGTTAAAGTATACACTTGAACTCACTGCAGAAGGACATGGTGAATGAGGTTCATGTGTGTTGTGTTTCAGGAGGGTGTGCGAATGGAGGAGATTGTGGAGGGCTGCACTGGAGCGCTGCACATTCTAGCCAGAGACATTCACAACAGAATTGTCATCAGAGGACTCAACACTATTCCACTCTTTGTTCAGGTCAGTCGCTGAGAGCGCACTCTCTGTCTGTTGTCTTGTCATTGTTCTGTCTATTGTTTTACTTTCTACTGATCTACCTATCGTTGGTCGATCTTTCTGTCTTTTCCATCATTCGTCATGTTTGTTCGCTCTATATATAGTTTCTTCTATCTGTATTGTTCTATTGACTTGAACTGTTTTATTGGTTCACTCGTTTATTCTGTCATTCAATCTACAGCTTGTTCATTCTATCTGTCTATTGCTCTTTCGTTTGTTTGCTCATTTGTTCAGTCTATCAGTGTCAATCTATCGCTCTGCCTATTGCATGTTCTATCGATCATTCGCACATTCATTCTACCTCTATTATTCTATTGTTTTATATGGTTCTATTTTAGTGAATTAAGAACATTTTGGGTGGCCCACGTTTTGAACCAGTTTCATCCCGTCTGACATATCTCTGTCTGTGCAGTTGCTGTATTCTCCTATCGAGAACATCCAGCGTGTGGCTGCAGGCGTGCTGTGTGAGCTGGCTCAGGATAAGGAGGCAGCCGAGGCCATCGAGGCAGAAGGAGCCACCGCTCCCCTCACAGAGCTCCTCCACTCCAGAAACGAGGGCGTTGGTGAGTGTGCCCGCATACAGAATAATGCAGAAAGACATCAAATAAATATAATAATGGCAGCAGTGTCACTGCCAACTGATGTCTAAAGTTGTCTAAAGAGGAGCTAGTGTGAATACGAAACGCTATGCAGATTTGTTTTCCCAGCTCTGCTCTGCTTTCCACTGGAGGCAGTGGCTGAGGTGAGCAGGGCTGGCTCGAATGTTTTCTCGGTCACACTAACGTTGCTATCTCTCGCCCACAGCCACGTACGCTGCTGCAGTTCTGTTCCGCATGTCTGAGGATAAGCCCCAGGACTACAAGAAACGACTGTCTGTGGAGCTCACCAGCTCTCTGTTCAGAACTGAGCCCATGACCTGGAACGAGGTAAGGGGGCTCATCTCTGCTAAATCCTGCAATCAACGCTGGCACAGAGCCCAGCTGTAGATTAAGCCCATCAATTCCCAGTGCATTACAGAATCTGTTATGACAGATGTGGGTGTTATATTTGTGAATTTACTGGGCAGGTGATTCTAACAAAGCATTATTGTTTTCATGATGAGCCTCGAGCACTTTGAAAGCATTTGTGGAACTCATTCAGTCCTGATATATGCAGAATTAGAGGCTGAAGTGAGCGTTTCTCTCATGGATCTTCTTTCTTGCGTGTCTGTTTGCAGACTGGAGATCTAGGGCTGGACATCGGTGCACAGGGAGAGCCTCTAGGCTACAGACAGGACGGTAGGTTCAGCATTCTCTCAGCATCTGAGTGTGATACGCACTAATCCACTGCTTCATCAGCCTTCACCCACCAAACCTAGAGCCCAACACACCTGGCACTTTCCACGAAGAGGGTACTAAATAGGGCCTGGAATGCCAAACCCGTGACTCCTCACAATATGAAATGTTAGGCATAGTGTTAGAAACGGGCAGCCTCAGTCACTGAGTGAATAGCCATTTAGGCTAACATTTTCTTTTGTGGTTTATGGAAGAAAGTCATTCATACAAGTTTGGAACCACCACATGCTGGAAATATTCACCCCACATGTGAGTTTCACAAATTATCAGTAAAAAAAAAAAAAAAAAAAAAAAATACTACACTGACTTAAATTCAGCTTTCAGAATTAACAGTACAATTTGATTGGATACAATTGAATTGGATTGAGGCTGGGCAAGACAAAATCACCATGTCACCAAGTCATTTTCATTATAGATAAACATCTAATAGTCCCCGAAGCTCTGAAGTGGGGCACCGCAGTGTACAGTATTCATGGAGAATGCCAGTTTCCAGTTGAGTCTGGTCTTGTGGGTCTGAGGTTGTGCTATTGTAAGCTGCCTGTTTATTATGCTTCCTCTAACGTACGTGTGTGTGTGCTCCCTCCACTTCCCATCCACTCCCCTCGTCCTCCAGACCCAAGCTACCGCTCCTTCCATTCCGGAGGTTACGGGCAGGATGCCATGGGCATGGATCCCATGATGGAGCACGAGATGGGCGGGCACCACCCCGGCCCAGATTACCCCGTAGACGGCCTTCCCGACCTCGGCCACGCCCAGGACCTGATCGACGGCCTCCCGCCGGGCGACAGCAATCAGCTGGCCTGGTTCGATACCGATCTGTAAATACAATGACTTTTTAGGTGAGGCACCAAGACGCCTGATTGGCGAAGGGCCGGTTGTGTTTGATCTGTGCTGACCGCACTGTGTGTGGCTGGAGTAAAGCACGCCGGTAGCAGAACTAATCTGAGCTGCGTCTGAATTGATTACAGTCCTGTGTGTGCGTTTAATGGGATTCTAATCTGTTTGTCCCCTCTTTTCTCTCTGCTGCAGCTGTATCGTCTGATCTGAATGAACCTGCATTGTGATTTTGGCCTGTAGAGTTGCTGAGCGGGCTCAAGAGAGTGGGCTAGTTTCTCTGAAAGTGCCTGACACACTAATACAAGCTGAGTTTCCTATGGGAACACATGGAAGTAAAACTTTTGTTCTGGTCTTAGTCGGTCAGAATTTGGTGTGATTGACAGAAGAAAAGCCCAAAAAGCAAATCCTAAGATGGAATTTTCAACCTTAGCCTTGCCTGTACTTTTTATTACTTTTTATTTTTCAAAGGATATTTCAGTCTGTAATGGTACTTATCTAGCTTGCTTTATGATACTCGTCTTTTATTTTGCAGAACTTTGTATTCCTTTCGACTGACTGTCTTTCTTTCTCATAGTGTTGAGTTATTGTAGTAATGATCCATCCAAGATTTTATCGAGTTTATGGTGTAGAACACTAATTAATCAGTTCAATTGTATTCTTATCAAATGTAACATTGTGTAGCTTTTGTATAAAACCAAGAATTGGAGAAGTCCAAATATCAGTTCTCTTGCTTTAATGAAATCACATATGTTCCAAAGGGTTTGTAATCAGTTGGGGCCAGTTTTTTTTTTTCTTTTTTTTTTTTTTTCTTTTTTTTTTCTTGTCTTGATCTATTTTTTGATGGTAGCTTTAGAAAGGTTTTGAAAAGAACCCCTAATTATTGTAGCCTGCAATTGTTGGTTGGAGACTTGGTTATGACCTGGCTAAACAATAAAATGGACTAAATTTAATTTTGTGAATATTTTTATTTTTGGAAAAATTCTGGAATACTTTAAATCTAAACTGTTACATTTCATTGTAGAATTGCATAGTAAATTTTACAAACCACTCTCACAAGTGTTCAGTAGTCTATTGCGAAAATATAATTTACAAGTCTGCAGGTTTTTCACACGTGCAAATATAAACACACATTAAATAGCGGGAGAGAAACTCTGTTCTGTGGATCTCAATTCTGCCTGGGACCCGATGGACTTCAGAATCTCTGCAGCTACTGATCCCACTGTCGTGTCTGATTGAGACCTGGGAAAGAGAAACGAGTGATTGCTTTACCCTATGCGTGCTTTCCAAAAAAAAGTTAATTTCATTAATACAGTTGTCCAAACAGGTCAGGCAATGTGTGATAAATCCATTCACATACAGCAAGTGCACAATACAAGATTCAAGCTCATTTAAGTCTGCAACTAGAAGCTCCAGATCAGTGTCCGTCCATCAGTCACTTATCTGGTGTGCACACTGTCCTGATGAGCAGCAAAGCAGGAGCAAAATAAACCCCAAGCACACTCTCATCCATGTCATTATTTTGATATTGTAAAAAAAAAAACCCTGTTGCTGAGAAAACAATCTTTGAGTCTTCTATTGTGCATTTGGCTTTAGTAGACTTACTATGAGCTGAAGAACTACATCGTATGATTGGAGTTGATATACTTTTAATCCCTAATCTATATTAGATTTTGTACCAGAATAGAACTGGATTATTCATGGTACACAAATGCATTAAGCATGTAGTGCATTAGCTTATAGTCAAAAGTTATTCACAATGGTTGTTTACTTCATGAATATGATAATTAGAGAGCAGTGCCAAATGCAGACCTGCTTAAATAAGATAACAGCGCTGTCCACATATATTATTGATGCAGACACTGGGACTTTCACTTTTCTCCAAATTAAAACCGAGATGATGTAACCTGAGCTAATTAAATTCTTTTAAATAACACTATTGAGCATAACTTATTCAAAAGTCAAGTAGGTATTTTTCTGAGTTGTATTCATTGTTTGCCTCGGTATACCTTAAAGGGACAGTTCATTTCACAGAGTCATTTACTCTCCCTCAAGTTGTTCCAAACCTGTATAAGTTTCTTTCTTCTGTTGAACATAAAGGAAGACATATATATATATATAAAAACTGTTGGTAGCCATTGACTTCCATAATAGGAAAAACAAAATACTATGGAAGTCAATGGCTACTGTCAACTGTCTGGTTACCAATAGTCTAAAATATCTTTCTTTGTGTTTGAACAACTTAAGTAAATGACAGAATTACATTTTTTGCTGAAATATTCCTTTAATATAAGAATACGACAGGTCTGTTGAAACTAATACAGGTCTTAGCGTTGCACATGCATGTTGTTCTAACAGTCTAGTAAACATGAAACCCACTCACAAGCCCTTTTACCAACATAATGTACATATTTTCGAGAGAGACGAGCAATTCGGTTGGAAATTGCCTGCATCATGAAGTAGGTGTTCTATATTAGAAAGGGAGTCAGATCTGAATGAGAGTTTGCAATATACTGTGGGGAAGATAAACATTTTGTCCCAGAAACCAGGCCCTATATTTCTCTGACCTGCTGCTGCTTACATTTTGATTAAAGATTATGGAGCATATAACATGCAATGACGAATCAAGCACAAGACCAACAGTGTCTCTACTTTAAAGGCTCTGCAACTGTTTCCATCCACCCATTTTTATGAGCATTTTGGGATATCGCAAAAAAAAAAAAAACGTATGGAAACCCCAAAATGCGTATACATTCTAAAAATGTGCATAAAAAACTTGGCCACTCCACTGAGTCAGATACACTTTTTATCCGTTAAGAACACATGCACAAACTATGATGGAAACACATTTACCAAATAAGTTCCACGATGCGAATCGAAAAAAGACGTGATTTTGCGATGGGACGGCATAACTGGACCAACCAGCGGACCGATCTCGTTGCACAGCATCTGAAATGTTGTTTTGGTTGTTCTGAAATGTCTGAGCAAAGTCTCTCGACAAAGTGGTACATTATAATTTCCTCCTAGAACTGTCTTACACGACTGTGTTCCCAAACAGCCGCGCCCACTTCCTAGTTTGCACCAAATAAGTGACTTAAAAACAGCAGCGTTGGCTGCAGGTTGAATAATTATGACATAAAAAAAGAAATCCTACAACTCAAAGGCATTATATTATATATTGACCTTATCACTTTTAATTTGCCACTAAACTGTTAAAACCCCCATATCTTTAGAAAAGCTTACATTTAAATTCGAGTCACTGGGGGTTGAATAATTCTGATCACAACTATACATACCATACATGCATATATACAGGTTTTAATATTTTTATATTGCATTAATTTCACAGTTACTCTTCAAATTAATGTAGAAACAACTTAAAGACAGTATATTTTAAATGATGGTCAGTATCACTGATACTAATAATGATGTCTCTATGAAAAAGATTTTTTGGAAAACATTAATAATAGACATTCAACATTACAGTATAATTGAAAGCTATCAATTTCAACATTTATTAGACTTTAAAAAAAATTTAAAAACTTTTGATTTAAGTGAATTTAAACCAATCTTCACCCATAATGTCATATTTACCTGTGCCCTACCTGTCTGACAGGTAGGAAATATACAGAAATTAAATAAAGTTATCAAACACTTTACAGTCTTAACTGCATAGATTACATTTAGATTAATCCTTATTAAAGCTACAATTTTCTCGGTTAGCGCGCGCGATCATTGGTAACTAATATAACTAATGACCGCGCGCGCAAACTCGACAATTGACTACTGTGGACTTCGAACGAAAACAGGAAGTAAATATGTGAGCTGGCTGAATTAACATCATTTTTATTAATATCTTGCACATCTACTGCAGTCAGATTGACCGTGGTCACTCTTAATAACACCACTCACATGGCTGTGCACTTGTAATTAAAATATTAAGGTTGTTAAGAGGCTAAAAGCAGGTTTAGAACTTGCCCCATTGAAGTCAACAGGGTGCAAATTTTAAAAAGAGGATAACACGGTGTAGGCAACACCGATTTTTGTCGTTTTTGTCTGTACTGACAGCACTCCAAATGTACAAAAAAATGAGCTCAATGTTAAAATTGACCGGAGTTCTCCTTCAAGACGTTATTTAACTAAGACTGCTCTTATGAGAATACTCGACAAAAAGGGTATTTTGGCATCATTTTGTGTGTTAATGTTAGTTCAAGCGTGAAAGAGAACTGGATAGCACACTGTCTGTGCACACGATACTGGCGCGTCTTTCTGTGTGTCGTGTGTGTCATATAGACAGGACATTCACAGACGTTCTCGTTTGTCTTGTCACGCTTGAATTATGTCTTAAAGGCATTTTCATGAATAAGAGCGTGATCATATGATGTAACGCTAGTCAAAGAAGGACAGAGCAAAAAAACGGATGCCGCGTTAATTGCATTAAAAATTTTACCGCGTTAAACTGCAAAAAGTTAACGCTAATTTTGACAGCACTAATATACACTCACCTAAAGGATTATTAGGAACACCTGTTCAATTTCTCATTAATGCAATTATCTAATCAACCAATCACATGGCAGTTGCTTCAATGCATTTAGGGGTGTGGTCCTGGTCAAGACAATCTCCTGAACTCCAAACTGAATGTCAGAATGGGAAAGAAAGGTGATTTAAGCAATTTTGAGCGTGGTGCCAGACGGGCCGGTCTGAGTATTTCACAATCTGCTCAGTTACTGGGATTTTCACGCACAACCATTTCTAGGGTTTACAAAGAATGGTGTGAAAAGAGAAAAACATCCAGTATGCGGCAGTCCTGTGGGCAAAAATGCCTTGTTGATGCTAGAGGTCAGAGGAGAATGGCCAGACTGATTCAAGCTGATAGAAGAGCAACTTTGACTGAAATAACCACTCGTTACAACCGAGGTATGCAGCAAAGCATTTGTGAAGCCACAACACGCACAACCTTGAGGCGGATGGGCTACAACAGCAGAAGACTCCACCGGGTACCACTCATCTCCACTACAAATAGGAAAAAGAGGCTACAATTTGCAAGAGCTCACCAAAATTGTACAGTTGAAGACTGGAAAAATGTTGCCTGGTCTGATGAGTCTCGATTTCTGTTGAGACATTCAGATGGTAGAGTCAGAATTTGGCGTAAACAGAATGAGATCATGGATCCATCATGCCTTGTTCCCACTGTGCAGGCTGGTGGTGGTGGTGCAATGGTGTGGGGGATGTTTTCTTGGCACACTTTAGGCCCCTTAGTGCCAATTGGGCATCGTTTAAATGCCACGGCCTACCTGAGCATTGTTTCTGACCATGTCCATCCCTTTATGGCCACCATGTACCCATCCTCTGATGGCTAATTCCAGCAGGATAATGCACCATGTCGCAAAGCTCGAATCATTTCAAATTGGTTTCTTGAACATGACAATGAGTTCACTGTACTAAAATGGCCCCCACAGTCACCAGATCTCAGCCCAATAGAGCATCTTTGGGATGTGGTGGAACGGGAGCTTCGTGCCCTGGATGTGCATCCCACAAATCTCCATCAACTGCAAGATGCTATCCTATCAATATGGGCCAACATTTCTAAAGAATGCTTTCAGCACCTTGTTGAATCAATGCCACGTAGAATTAAGGCAGTTCTGAAGGCGAAAGGGGGTCAAACACAGTATTAGTATGGTGTTCCTAATAATCCTTTAGGTGAGTGTATATATATATATGAAGAGTTCAGATGCAAAAGCCTCTAAACGCCACCTCCATCAAAAATGAGATAATGACATTGAGTGAAAGCTATCTGAACACAGTACACGTTCAACAAATATATTTGCTTCAAATCCTCGAAATCTCAGCCTCAGCCCATTCAGAAATATCAGTTTGTCGGCAAAAGCCTCTAGACGCCACTTCCCTTTGGCAGCAAAAGCCACTACATCCCGAGAACCAATCAGAAGGCGCGAGCCGCGCGAATCAGTACAGGCTGTTTCAATAGAGCGGTGCGCTGAGGAGACGGATTTTTTGAGACGGCTGAGGAGATTGTTTTGTTTTTGGATTCAGATTTTTTACATTTTTAAGATGGAGTACGATGAAATGGAGGAGCCTGTCCTACTGACATCAAAAGGCAGAAGAGAACGTCGTTTATCTACCTCAAAACTCTTCCCGTTAATTTACAAGGCAAAAGAAAATCGGTAACTTTACAGTGAAAATAGCTTGGTCGCAAGTGTAGCATGCACTCATAACAGTTCTTGGTGCAGTGCTGTAACTTTGAAGGAATTTGATTTATTATACTTGAGATATACATTATAATATTACTTTACATTATTTAAGTCTTATAAGCTTCTTATACAAAATGCACAGATATTGATGTTTAAGAATGTTGCTCTGTTCTACTTGATTATACAAACTAAAACTATTAAACTATTTTAATCGCCAATTCTTTTTGCCAATGTGGTTGTACTGTGTGAATCGGGGGGGCTTTTGTCTTTATTCAGACAGGGCAGAAAGGTGACTGCAGAGAAATGGGGTGGGATTTGCAAATAATCGCAGATCTCATTCAGCCACCCTGTAAAGAGGTGTGTCTACTGTTTAGTTTTGAAATGAATGTGCTCTAATCTTTTTCAGTGTTTCTAGTTACATTTTTATTGATTTTTCAGCTATTTACTATGTCTTGTCCCAAAGAGGTGGATTTAGAGGTTTTTGCGAAAAAAGCACAAGTGGATTTAGCTGTTTTTGACGCAAAAGAAAATCGAATTTGTTAAAAATCACTGAATTGACTCAAGTGACATTTTTGAAAAAAAGTTATTTTATTCAATGACTAATAACCTTATCAGTACCTTTAAAATGAAACTACTGGACGTGAACATAGGAGCCTGATAAAAAATGCTCATTTAAAGAAAATAAGTCTGACGGATTTAGAGGGTTTTGCATCTGAACTCTTCATATATATATAAATAAAGTAGGCCTATAAATAATTACATTATTAATACTTAGGAGTAGTATTATTAATACTTAACTTATGAGAACATCTGCTCCTTGGAAAGAAAAGCGTCACATCAACGCCAATGTATACTTTGGGCTTTACTGTAACCCAGATTTTTGCTTTCTTTAAAGGAAATTATCTTTGCAGTGACCAACATTATGCTGCAAGTGCTGTTGATTGAACTGATCTTGAATCATACAATATTGTTTTAAAGTTAATTTCAACTATATTCATAGCGCTCCCTTGAGCGGAACGCATTTGTGACGATGTCGTCATTCAGTAACATATTGTTTTAAAAAAATGTGTCTCTGCTTTGCCAAGAACCCAATATTGCTGAAGCTTTGCCTCCCAAGCTCGGCTGGCCAGCTTCAAAGGGATGCCTTCTTATTCCAGCAGGAGAGGAGGAGGGGGGTCACAATAGTCCTGTATCAATCTGAGGGTGAAGCCTGAGCTCAGGGAAGCTCTCATCAGAGGCCTACGCCTCGGCCCCGACATGAATGGATCAAAGATGAGGGTCACACTAAGAGACTCGACCGGGGGCCCATGTGCTGCTGGATGAGGGGCTGACAGGGAGCTGGTGTCGGGTTACTCACCCAGTAGACAGCGCCAGTTTCTGCAGCACGTGAACCAGGATCTGCCCTTCCGAAGAACCCCAACAGGAGCTGCCAACTGCACTCATCTGTACAGGAAGAAGATAACATGTACCTTAGGAAACGGGCTCACAGATGGCACACTCTCATATGGTGTCAAGCAGAAGCAGCATGAAACCTATTTAGTCAGTTAACGTGCTCCGCAAGCTCTGTTCTATCATAACAGACTGAAAATAGCATGAATGGTAACCCGTACGACACTCGAGTAGTTTGCCGCTGATTTGACATGTCTGTTTTTAGAATTAGACTCGCTCTTCAGCGTGTCATCTCACAGATGAGATGCTTCATCTGAGTGAATGAGGGTCAGTGAAAGCCCCCTCTGATGAACAGCACAGGACACACACTTCATCTCTGTAAGAGCTCTCAGTGAATCCTGCTCACGCTGAAAGACGTAGAGATGCTGCTCACTGCAGAGACAATGGGTGGAGCTTGATGTCAGCTAGACGGTCAAACCACACCCTCATCCTACCGCAACACATAACCCTATCGTTAATCAGAACTCCACCCATTAGCTGAACTAGGTCAATCTCCACCCGTCATGTCCAGAGAGGCGGAGCTGGACGTCATTTGGCTCTGCAGTGAGCACCATTTGAATGATATACAAGGAAGGCTGTTTTTCAACTTTTTCCTTCATAACTCACATACTACTACAAATCTACCTGCCATCTTTTGTTATAAGAAACACATATGTGCAAAGTCAGAATGATTGTCCGATGCTTTATCCTTTACTATTGTCACTGGGGGCTGGAGCCTCTTCCTGGGAAACACCCTGAATGTTCGGCCAGTCCATCACAGGGCTCGCTCGCTCAGACACACACACGTTGGGTTTTCCATGTTCTATGGGTACTTTCCATAGACATAATTATTTTATTCTGTACAAACTGTCAATTCTATATCTTAACTCTAACCTTACTCATTACATAAAATTCATACAAAATACATGTAAAAAATATTTTTTGCATTGTTTATAATCTGTTTTTCTCATCGGGACAAAATCTTTTTTACAAACAAGGTCCAAATTTACTGGTATTACTATATTTGTGGGAAAATTTGGTCCACATAATGTAGGGTTTACCAGGTAATTAGTTTTTATTTTTCCGACCCCTTATATAACTCTAAATAGTTCCTCCAGTATATAGTATATATATATAATTTTATATTCATAGCAAGATAACAAACATACCATCATTTTTAACACCAACCAAACTTTTACATTTTGCACCAAACATATCCCAATGCAATCAGTATTATAACCCACACTCACAATCACTTCTGTTCCTCTTCATATCCTTTTAATAAAGTGTTTTTATATAACTTTTTAAACTGTTTAATGTTTGTACAATGTTTTAACACTTGTTTCAAACCATTCCACAACATCACCTCACAAATAGTGATGCACATACTTTTTAGAGTTGTTCTTATTTTGAGTTTTCGGTTGAAACAGTGTTGTGTAAGCGGTAAGTTAATAACTAATAAACTTTACAACGGAAGTGAATCAATCAAAAACTAACTTTAGCTGGACAATAACTTTATTCTAGAGCTGCTGTAAAGCCAAAACAATCTCTGTTACTGTAATTTCCTATTATCACTGTAAAGCTGCTTTGAAACAATCTGTATTGTTAAAAGCGCTATATAAATGAAGGTGACTTGGCTTCTCTCACACACACACGGAAACCACATTTTGTGGCGAATATTGCCAATTTGGTATATTGTTGGAATTAATCAGCTACTGTAAATATGTACCAACTAAAATGAAAAAAATAAAGGAAAAAAAAATCAATCACTTTACCCACCATTGGCAAAAGGATAATTTTGGAATCTGTAAGCCGGCCACAAAAGCTGCTAGGAAGAGACTACACAGATTCACCTAGAAGTACAGAGAGCTGACGTAAACTAAGAGTATCATGTTGGGACTCTTTGCTGAAGTTCCCGAACAGACTGGGATCAACTGGCACTTCAGAAGTTTGGCTGAGGTGTTTATGTTTCACACACTCTTTCATGCTGAGCCACATCTAAGCAAGGAGCCCACAGATTGTGATGGCTCGTTCAAAAGATGCTCTCTTTACTTCCAAAACAACAGGGCAAAACACAACAGGGTGACAGCTTGTGCACAAAAGCCGTCTCTGAAGAACTAATACTATCTGAAACAACTCCTGTGACACTAAGGGACAAATATGCCATTTTTTTGTTTTTGTTTTACATTTCGAAGAAGCCTTGATGGAGGAATAGGGTAACACCTCTGAGTATGAAGAGGGGTCCAAGATAAGAAGGCTTTATTACGTTTCGGAAGAGTCTGATGTCTCACACGCCAGTGCTCTTTATCTCTGATGTCATCACCCAAGCCCGCCTGCCCACCTCAATATGCACCCGTTACTAGGCAACAGGGTTATGTACCCAGCTGAACATGTCATTTTGTCTTTATTTCCTGGATTTCCTTGCTCCCCAATACACAAGGCACCTCATATTCACCCATTTAGAATGGACGAATACCATTTATGCTAAATAATCACATTTGGTTAACAACTCCAACTGTTGCTAACTGACAGATGCAGCTCTTCCATGGGGCTGACAGAGGTATAAGTATATAATAAGTAAATTGATTTTTTAAAACTATATTATAAAAAGATCATTCATTCAAACAGATGATTGTAAGGTCTAGTGCACATTGTAGCTTATTCTGGCCAACAATTTCACAAGTAGACAGGAAGCAGTTCAACCCTCAGCGTTGTGTTTTTTTTATGCGTTGGGTACATTTTATTTGCTCTTAAAGTGCTCCTATTGTGCTATTTTAAAGGTTTACTTTCTCATAATATATTTGATTGCAGCATCAGCTCTTTTGTCACAGTGTCTGAAATGGTTCGATAAAGGATTTAGTCTCTCTAAACACCTCCTCTGATGTGATTGGTCAGATGGTTCAGTCTGTTGTGATTGGTCTACTGCTTACAGCTAACTAAACTAGACTAAACCCTATTACCATATCTGAATTTCAGTTCCAGAGGCTTCCTAAGCGCTTGATACACAGTGATTTGAACAGTAACGATGGCGCCGGTTTTACCGTATCAATTCTAGTGTGAGATCTCATCTTCTGAAGTGCATGCAAAGTGGATTTGCTTTCGCAGAGCAGAAAACTTCTCTGCATATCGACAACACAAACCAAACTCTTCCAGGCCTCAGCGACAACTCCAGTGTTTGAGGGTCAAAGTAGACATTGTTTGCGAGCAGCCAATGAAGACCATAGGCTGCCATTATGCAAATTAGTTACAAACCTATGTAGATTTGTGCAGGAAGTGAGACTGGAATTACTAACGACTCATTTCTGCTCTTCAGAATCAGTTCTTTGGGAGACAATAACTTTATTTATTGTGAACTTTGAAAATTTGCAGATCTTTTAATTTACAAACAGTTATATTACACACTTTAAACATCATATTAAAACTAATTACCTTTGGTTGGTCATGACCATGAAGATGGCGACATGTTTTAATATGATGTTTGACACCAGATAAAACAAGACAATAACAACATAAACTACTTAAAGGTGCAATGTGTAACATTTTTGAGTATCTATTAACAGAAATGCAATATGACATCCATAACTATGTTTTCAGTGGTGTATAAAGAACTTACTTAATAAACCGTAATGTTTTTATTACCTTAGAATGAGACATTTATATCTACATAACCGCGGGCATGCGATTTGAAGGCCTCCTTCTATGAAGGTCGACATATTGTGACGTCATGTTTCTACCGTCTACCGAGTTTAAACAAGGCTTTACGCTTTAACCAGCTCAGCCACAGTAACAGCTCATATTTAGCCAGCTAAACTTTTACTACCCTGTTAGAAAAAATATATAGTTGCATAGTTTCATGTGATTCTTCTCCCTCGCTGTATTATGGGTTTGCTATGTGGGGAGAAATGTGCTGGTTACGTCTGTGAGACAATCAGCTGATTACTATTATTATATTATATATTAAGACCCTTGATCATCACCTGACTATGGCTTTGTAAACTTTATCCATGATGTGGTTTATAATGGACTGTGGTACAGAAACAATGACAATGTTACACACTCTTGGTTTACTCTGGCTATTCTCTGCTGTCTCAGACGACTATATGTTTGTCCCGTTTTAGCCACTGTAGCTTCTTCGAAAGGGAGGGGTGAGCAGTGGGCTGAGCAAACTCGCAACCGAACTGCTAGATGCCACTAAAAAATACACACTGCACCTTTAAAATACACAGCACATGAACTCCTGTCAACAAGCCTGTTGTGGCGAAAATAGTGATTATGATTATTACTGAATTTTTTCCTGGCAGTGCAAAAACACAGCCATTGAGGTTATTCTTTTATTTTAACTGAGTTGATCAGCGAATGCCTGCCATTTACTTTTTAATATTTGTGAAGAAAATATTGTTTTAATTGTATTGCATCTTACAAACTTCTTAGAATTTATCTTATGAAATTCTTTCATTAAGATTATTTTGTGAATTTGGCCCCAGAACCTTGGCTTGTCAAAAGTTTCCACAGTGTGTAAAGCTTTGAATTAAGCTCATAATCGAATGTCACTTTGAAATTATTTTCAAACCTTTAGGTACAATATTATGACTTTTCTTCTTGATTCTTATTATTCCTCTTGCAAGCCACTTTTTATACCATTATCTTCAATGCTTTACTGTTTAATTACGAATTATATATATATATACTGTATAAACATAGTATAGACCAGCCGGAAATGAAGCTTTGTTCTGAGAAAATCTCCTTCCTTTTGCCAGGAAATAATTCGAGAGAAGCCTTATGACTCACAAACAAGCTCTCCCTGGAACGCCCTCAAATGTCCACCAGATAGCAGATGAGGAGAATGTTTTGGAACAGTCACCTAGAAGAAACTGCTTTAAATAGCGGCTGAAATGGTTTCTCAGCAGCTGATAGACTCTCTGTGTAATTCACTGTGCCCAACACACCTGAAGCAGTCTGACTCAATGCAAGACGCTGTTGGCCTACAATCCTCAGAGTCGGACACAGAATCTTGC